TCTACTTTCAATAACCCGCCCCGCCGAAACCCGCCCCGCCGAAACCGGACCCCCCGAATCGTGGGCCCCGGGGACCCTCGGGACCCCCGGAATCCGTGGCCCCGGGCCCTGCAGCAGGCCCCCCAGGTGTTTCAGAGCTCCTGGAAACCCTTCCGGGACCTAGGCAACGGCCCCAGTCGGCCAGGCGGGCGGCCGAACGCCTTCGAGGGCCCCAAGAGGCCCCAGACACCCACCAGACGGCCAGAGAGCCCCATGACGGCCCAAGATGGCCCCAAGACGCCCTCCGAAGCATTGCAAGTCGTGCCCCGGTCGTTCAGAAAGACCGCGGTTGGAAGCAGGGTGGCCCGAGGAATCCCCCACAGGCCCCCAGAAGACGCCCAGGAGGTCTCCAGACGCCCTTAAGAAAGCCTGAACTTCTGTGAGGCCCCAAGAGGCTCTCCAAGGAGGAGCCTACGCAAAAAGAGCTGAGGAGGATGGAGAAGAATTCGCAGGGTAGTGCGAGATAAGGAAACATAGACCTTGAGGAAAGATAGCGAATCACAGTATCATACGGGCGATGCCAGAAAAGGCACAAGGAGTTATCGGCAACAAGAAGCGCCAATGCAGTCTTGTATTTATACATATAATTTACGTCGCACCCCGCAGATGCGGATAAGAGTGAGGGGGCGGTGAGGACGTCGGCAGTCTGCGAGACTCTGGATAAGCCCGCCGCAGCCAAAGCTTCACAACTTATACAACGAGCCCGCCGCAGGCGCCGATCTTCTCTTCGAAACAATGTGGATCGGTCGCGGGTGGGACGCGGGGCGGGTCGCGGGTTGGGTCGCAAGTGGGTCGTGGGTGGGTCGCGGGGTGGGTCGCGGGAGGGTCGCGGGGGGGTCGCGGGAGGGTCGCGGGGTGGGTCGTGGGTGGGTCGCGGAGTGGGTCGCGGGTGGATCGCGGGTTGGGTCGCGGCTGGGTCGCGGGGTGGGTCGCGGGGTGGGTCGCGGGGTGGGTCGCGGGGGGGACGATAACAACAAACAACAACAATTACAACAACACCAGCAACAACGACAACAACAACAACAACGCCAGCAGCAACAACAACAACAGCAACACCAATCAGTTTAAGACTGTTCGCTCTTATCTGCTCGTGTGTCATTCAATATGCATTTCCCAAACCCTGGGTACCCGCCCTCTTCGACTTCGATCGTACCCCCTTTTGGGGGGGGTATATTCATTCCCTGCCACGTGTGGTTGGTGAAGCCCTTGAAAACGAAACGAATGGCATTCTCCTATGGGGCCACAAAGGGCGACAGCGGGGCCACTGAGGGCAGCAAAGGGGTCACGAAGGGCAGTGAGAGGGCCACGAAGGGCGACAGCGGGGCTACGAAGGGCATGCGTATGGGGCCACGACGGGCGACTGCGAGCGGGGGCCACGAAGGGCATGTATTGCGGGGCCACAATGGGCAGCGACGGGGCCACTGAGGGCAGCAACAGGGCCACGAAGGGCAGCGAGCGAAGGCGACCGCGGAACCAGTACGGGCAGCGAGGGTCATCGAAGGCAGCGAAGGGCAGCGAGCGGCGACTGCAGTCCCTAACGGGCTGGTCGGGCGGGCAGGCCCAGACGGGCGGGTCGAGCGGGCGGGTCGTTGACGAGTAAATCCTGCTTGAACCGCCAGGCAGTATGTAGCGGGAGCGCGTTTCCTGAGTGTCGAGGAACGGCATCTGAATAAATTGTGAGGAAGTATCAGGCGGGAGCCGCGATTCGTCGGTAACTTGCGAGGAAGTCCCAAGCGAGAGCGCGATTCTCCAATACATTGTGAGGAAGTGTCAAGCGGGAGTCGCGATCCGGCGGTAACTTGCGAGGAGGTCCCAAGCGAGAGCGCGATTCTTCAATACATTGTAAGGAAGTATCAGGCGGGAGCCGCTGTTGTTGTAAATTGGGCGCCGACGACACAGTTTGACCCTCAATATTTTTTCTGGTAAAAACCAGGGTGCGAGCCCCGGGAAGGGTACTACAATCAAAAAACAATGTGCACCGGACGGGGTGGATCAACAATATTTATTATTCAGAAATGAGAGTTCAACAACGCAGCAAACAGAATCCCCACCACGGATTCCCACTCCAGCCACGCACCCAGGGACAATGAATGACCGCTCGGCCCCCTCACTCTGATATATTTGATGTATATTTCTATACACAGACGTATCTATGTCAGAGTGAGTGAGGGGGGCGAACGGTCTTCTTCCCTGGGTGCGTAGGTGACATGGGGATCCGGGGCCCGGATTCTGCTTGTTGTTGTTTGTTGTCGTCGTAGCTCTCGCCCGCGATCCGCCCGCGACCCGCCCGCGACCCTTCCCGCGACCCACCCCGCGACCCACCTTGCGACCTACCTTGCGACCCACCCGCGACCCAGCCGCGAACCACCCGCGAGCCACCCCGCGGGCGCCCCTGCACTCTTGTTCGCAACAGCGGGGGTCTACGTATATCAATGTATATATGTGTGTATACATATATGCATATGGATATATGCATGTGTATATATGTGTATATGTGCATACATACACATATGTATATATATATATGTATGTACAGAGATAAATAACTACACACATATCTATATATATATGTGTGTACACACAAAGTTCGCAGCCATTGTAGCGCACGGCGGGACGCCTGTTTTCAGAAGAGCGGCTTAAAGATTTCGAACGACGCTTCACCTTAGCTGCTCGAGCCTGAATTGACGATCCCGCGTGAGAGCCAATGGTGGTTCTGGGGAGGTCCATGGAGGGTTCAAGCGCACATGTCTGCGACCTGTTTTGCCTTTCAGTTTGGCTTGCATTGCATTTTGTTTGCATTGCATTTTTTGTTGGGCTGTAGTGGCGCTGCTCGAGCTTGAGCTTAGGTTTCGGCGTGAGGGTCAAGCGAGGTTTGGTGAGTTTCAGGGAGGGATGAAGTGCACATGTCGGGGACCATCATGCGACATCAGTTTTTTTGTTTTGCAGTTCGTCTTGCATTGCATTTCTTGCATTGCAAATAATTGTTGCGCTGTAGTGGCGCTGCTCGGGCTTGAGCTTAGTATTCCGCGTGAGAGCTAAGCGTGGTTTTGGACGGTTGAGAGAGGGATGAAGCGCACATGCCAGGGGACCACCACGCGAAAACATTAGTTTTTGCATTGCATTCTTTGTCGCATTGCAGTTTTTGCATTGAAGTTTTCTGCATTGCATATTTGCGATTTAGTAGCGTTGCTCGAGCTTGAGCTTAGGATTTCTCGTGAGACCCAAGCGTGGTTTGTGGATGTTTAGAGGGGGTTGAAGGGCACATGCCGGCGGCCACCACACGAGCACAGTTTTGTTGCTTTGGCGTGTTTTGCATTGCATTTGTTTCGCTGCAGTGGCGCTGCTCGAGCTTGAGCTTAACATTCCGCGTGGGAGCCAAGCTTGGTTTGGGGAGGTTCAGGGAGGGTTGACGCTCAAATGTCGGGGATCACCACACGAAAGCAGGTATTCTTTCATTGCAGTTTGTCTGGCATTGCACTTTTTTGAATCGGCGGTTGGTTGTGCTGTTGTGGCGCTGCTCGAGCTTGAGCATAGCACCCCGCGTGAGAGCCAAGCGAAGTTCGGGGAGGTTTAGGGAGGGTTGAAACGCACACGTCGGCGACCACCGCACGAGCACTGTTTTTGTTGCATTGCAGTTTGTTGCGCTGTAGTGGCGCCGCGAGAGAGCTTAGGATTCGGCGTGCGAGCCAAACGTGGTTGAGTGAGGCTCAGGGAGCTGTGAAGCGCACGTGTCGGCGACGACCACACGATGATATTTTTGTTGGCATTGCAATTCTTTGGCATTCCAGTTTTGTGTCAGCATTTCAGTTTTTCTATGACGTAGTTGCGCTGCTCGCGCTTGAGCTCAGGATTCCGCGCGCGAGTCAAGCGTGTTTTGGGGTGGTTCAGGGAGGATTGAAGCGCAGATGTCGGCAACGACGACACGGAACCATGTGTTTGCAGTGCAGTTGATTTTGCATCGCAGTTTGTTCTGCATTGCAGTTTTTTGTTTGCGCTGTAGTGTCGCTGCTACCGCTTGCTGGCTGGTCTGACTGGCTGGTCTGGCCGGTTGGTCTGGGTGGTTTGATTGACTGGTCTGGCTAGCCTACATGGTGTCCAGTCAGGTTGGTCTGCTTTCTGGGCATGTCGGTTTGGCCTGGGCAGGTTGACCTGCTTAGTCTGGTCTGGGTTTCGCTGATCTGAACGGCTAGTTGGTATAGTTGGTCTAGTTGGTCTAGTTGGTCTATCTGGCTGGTCTGGTTGGTCTACCTTGCTGGTCTGACTGGCTGGTCTGGCTAGTCTGCGGGTGGTCTAGGTGGCAGGTCTGATTTGTCTAGGCTGGTTATTTGCGGCCCATCCGCAGCACACCATGTCTTGTTTAATTCGTCTGGTCTGGGCTTGTCTGCTTGGTCCAGTACATCATGTCCCAAGGCCGCGGACACATCCCAAAAACCAGTAAAAGTGCAGTCCTCGACTTGCTCGTCGTCGTCATCGTCGTCGTCGTCGTCATCGATCCGCCCTTTGCGTCGCCGCAGCTGGGGCTGGGACCGAAAGCAAACAAGTCCGTCTGCGGCGACAGGGGAGGTGAGAAGGGGGAAGGGACATCAGCAGCCTCATCAGTTCTTGTGCCCCAAGGCGTAGTAAGGCGTTGGGGCATACGAGCTGTGCGCCTCGAGCGGCTCAGGATATGCATGAAAGGGAAGCGACAGGATAAGCGAGAGTTGGAGGGACGGGAGTAGCCGAAGCAGTATGAGTGCGCATAGCAGCCATTGATGCGGAGGAGGAGGAGGAGGAGGTGAAGGAGGTGGAGGAGGCGGAGGAGGAGGCTCAGGGCGACGAGGAGGTGGAGGATGAGACCGGGTGGTGGCGAGGAGGAGGGGGAGGAGGAGGAGGAGGAGGAGGAGGAGGATGGGGGAGGAGGAGGAGGAGGAGGAGGATGGGGGAGGAGGTGGCCGGGGGGAAGGCGCGCCCCGTGCCCTCAGGTGGCTGCGGCCCTGCAGCAGCTGGCGGCGCCCCGGCCCGCCCGCGCGGGCGCGGTTGCGCGGGCGCTGGCGACGCTGGAGACGCTGGCCCTGCGCGCGGGGAGGGGCGAGGGGCAAAGCGGTCGAGGCGGACGAGGAGGGAGGAGGAGGAGGAGGAGGAGGAGGAGGAGGAGGAGGAGGAGGGGGGAGGAGGAGGAGGTGGGGGAGGAGGAGGAGGAGGAGGAGGAGGAGGGAGGAGGGCATGTCCCTCTTGTTCGGTTGTTCCCTGCTTACATGTTCTGTTTGTTTGTTAGGATTGCTGCGTGATGCAGGCGCCGTCCCATCGGATGAGCAGTTGGCTGACCCTCGGTCGGGTAGATGAGCGTGGCTGGACGCTCAGGCCCATTAACGTTTTGGACTGGTGCCTTGGCGTCGCCAGATCCACTTGGTGTGGAATGGGCTTCGCATGCGAAGATTGCGATGGGGCCTGATGCTCTGGGTCCCTTGTTGCGTACGGAGTTGTCGACTGCCGTGGTGCAGTAGTATACCGCGTGCAAAGGGTACGCGTTCGCATAAATGCGGCCTACCTCTCGCGCCTTTCTGCTTTCTGCGACGCCCGCCAGGCGTGATGTGTTGGCCTACAGGCCAAGGTCGGTAGTCTTTCTCTTTGTTATCGTGCCTCGCAGGCGCAGCGTCATTTGAAACACGCAGCCGTTAACATGCGTATGTATGTCCAACGTCCAAAACAGGAGGGGAACATCGATCGTTTCCCGTCCTCATCTTCCCTATCTCCCCCTCCTACCTCTTCACTCCCCCCTGATGGCCCGCACGGACGAACGTCTCCAGCATGGGCGCAATAGCGATTCTCTGCCGCCCCTGACCCGGGCTTGCTCGGCGCGCTGTTTCTTCCAGAAATTTGGTCTGGCGTTCTCTGATTTTCGGGTGTCCCATCGGTCAGATTGGTGTCCGTGTTTGACAGTTTTTGAGGCCTAGAGGATGACACCAACACCAACATCGTTGTTGTGCCCCCACCGAGGCAAGATGATGATCCCGATTTCGGTGATGGTAATGTTCGGGTTTCTAGGTGGCCGGAGCATTACCACCAACACCAACATCTAGGATCATCTTCTTTTGATGGAGAGAACCATCTCTGTTGGTGCGCATCTCCAAGTCTCTAAGAGTTGCCCTGGCGGCCACGACGGAGCTCCCGGGGCCCGCGGAGGCGCGGCTAGGGGAGGCACCCGGCGGTCCGGATGTTTTTTTGCGTCACGCTTGTCCGCTTCGTTTCGCCGCTTGTCCGGCTGGGGTTTCGTGGTGTCCAGTGCATGCGGTTTTTAGCGGTTGGCAGCTGGTGGTTCTGTCAGAGGAGGTAAAGATGCCCATTCCGCTACCCTTCGCACGTTTTCCCCCTTTTGGGGCCGCCTGAGAGGCCCTCGTCGCCACCGCTGGATTCGCCTCGGAATCCGGGTCACAACGCACCCCGGTACATGTTTTGTTCTCCCCAGACATCGGGTGTTGCTAGAAGTGCCCCTGTGTCCACAGCTTTTCGCTCCATTTTTGAGCATCCTGGGGCCCTCTGGGCCTCGTGAGGGGTGCCTTGGAGGCCGTTTGGGCCACCTCGAGAGTCCTGGGGGTACCTTGGGCCAGGGGTACTTCTAGCAACACCCGAAGACAGCTGGTGGTCTGGCCCACCCTCCCCTCTTTTTCTGGCGCGCTCCAAGTCCCAAGCCCCGAGCGAAAAGCGGAGGTATAGCGGCGCGGCCCTCCCCTCCTCGGCGGCGTTTTGACCCACCAGGGAGGGCGTTCCCGTCAGAGGCAACGATCGGGGAGGTCAGGGCGACGAGTTCTATACCTATCCACTGCTCCCTGGCAGTGCCCCTTTTGAGCCCAGCAACTGTGTACAGTCAACCCGCATAGGAAGGATGGGCAACCTTCCCAAGGGTACCCTTGCATCCTTGCCTCCTCGGTCCATCCTGCGCCACTTTCGTTGGCCGCGCCCCGCTCGAAGAGCTTCGAAGTGGGCGTCCTAGGCCCTTGCATCCTTATCGCGCATCCTTACTATACGGGTTAACTGTACACGCCCTCCTGGCCAAGCCAGGAGGGCGTGGCGTACACCATCGGAGGGTTCAGGATGGGCGCTGCCAGGGAGCAGCTGATATCCAGGAGGGGAAAAAACACAAACACAATTAATCGTCGATCCCCAGTCAAATCATGGGAAACTAAGGGGAATCACTTTGTTTGTGTGCATTTATCTGTGTGTGTGTGTGTGTCCTTGGGCCCCTTGAGATCTGTGTGGATCTCCTCGCCCACCGAAGGGGGGGGGGAGGCGTGCCGGCCCTCACTCGCCCCTCGGTCGCCGGCATTGGGGCCCGACGGCCCTGACCTGCCCAGGCACGTGCGGACTCGCTGCCGGGGGGCCCATCGCCGATCTTCAGGCAGTGGCGGAGCGTCCTGGCTCGCCTGTAGCCCTACCAAACGATTTTCTAAGAACCTTTTGTGGTTTCCACGGCATGTTCTTAGAACGTTTCTGGCTGAGATTAACACATCGGGTCTATGTTCTAAGAACATTGTTTTTGTTTCCAGCACATCTATGGATTCTAAGAACATTTCTTGGTAGGACTAGGAATGCCAGGACGGTCGGTCCCTGCTCAAGATCTGTCGGCGATACATCGCCGACTCCAGATCGCTGCATCCCCCCCCACCCTCTCTGCCAGGCCCCCCTCCCCTCATCGCTGTTTCTGACTTCGGTATCGTTTAACCGACCCCCATCCCCATCCCCATCCCCTTCGAGACTCCTGCCAAATTGCCCCCCCTGTGGGGGATGCACCCCTCGAAACCCGAAGGGAACGGCCTATTATCCCCATCTGGGGTGGTACATCGGCGAGAGGGGCCCAGGTCACCCAGCTGTGGGTATGGATCGTATGAAAGGTACTCGTTAACACACGAACGGGAAGGTCCTGGTCGGAGTGCGAGGGGGAACGGCGAGGGGCGGCGGAAGACGACGACCGGGGGCCCCAAAAAAATGCGGTGACCACACCGTGCGTTGAGTCGGTGGGGATTCGGTGTCACCGCACGGTTTTGGGACTCGAGTCGTTCTCCGAGGACGTCTCGGGCGACAGGGGCCTCCAGGGTCCCAAAACCGTGCGGTGACGGACCGTGCGGTGAGGTCTTGGGGGATTTCGAGGTCACCGCACGGTCCGTCACCGCACCGTTTCGGGACTCCAAAGACGAGGCGAGGCCTCCCCCATGGTTGAGTTGGGCATGTCCCGCTACAGGAGGAATAGTTAACAACATCCAGAACTAGCATCGGGGCGATTTTCTCATTACTGTTGATGCTTTTTTGTCGAGTATGTGTGTTATCTATGTCTTACTTTCTTTCTATGCTCTGCCTGTGGGAGGACGTGCCCGACCTACTCCCATGGGGGGGAACGACGGGGCCACCCCTTAGAATACTGCCGGGACCACCCCAGACCACCACGGACACTGTTTCTTTGCCAGGCAAAGACCAGCGGCAAGCATAGCAGCCAGAGGCTACCCACGCATTCAATGGCCAACGGTGGAGACGCGACTCGACCCAGAGCCTCGCTTCGTGGGCAGGGTCGTCGTCGTCCGAGTCGCCAGCATCAGGGGAGCCTTTAGACTTATCCCACACGGCCGAAACAGCCTGGAATGCAGGACCGAAGGGCCCCCCCCCCCAGGAGGAGGCGAGCATATTTTTCTCTGACCACAATCCAATCTAGCGCATTCGAACATCTCACAGAAAGTACCCACAAAACATGTTTGACGTATCACAGGAGTCCTTGGAGGTTCAGAAGCCAGGCGAAGGTTGGCAAACCCGCGGCTGCCAGAACGGAGCTCCGGGAAGTTGTTTTGTTCCTCTCGGGAAGCAGCCTGTTTACGATTTAGTTCGCTGAGTTTTCCTCTGGGCGTTTGCTTTTTCCTTCTGGGAAGACTGCTTTAGCAGCCACGGATCTGCCAGCCCTCGCCCGGTTTTTCCGCGGGGTGCAGCTTCCCACGGCGAAGCAAGCCGCAACGCCAGGGTCTGGAGGGGTCGTTGCACGGGGGCTCCCGCACGCTCCTCTTCCTCTTCACTATCGTTACCAGCCTCGAACGTATCCCTATCTCTAAGATTGACACGCCAAAATGCGATGACAATCTTAGGTATTCGCCCTCGAAAAATAATGGAATCCCTGAGATTGGCATCGTGATGAGGAGGTGCCCAGCATAGGGATAGGGATATGTTCCAGGCTGGTAATATCGGGTCGTACGACGGCTCACCGGTGGCCGTTCGGGACGATTCCAGCGCCCCCAGAGCGGCCTCTACGAGGCGACGAAACAGCTTCGGAAACCTACCCACAATTCTGTCGCCCTCCCGCGCCCTCCTCGTCTTCCTCGTCCCTCAGCTCCGTACGGTGTCGATGCGGCGGCGATCCCCAGCTCGGGCGTTCTCCGGGCGACCGCCGGCATCTGGAGGCCGCGATCGTTCAAGGCTGGACGATCCACGCGGCGTCAGAAGCCAACGCCCAGGACGTCGCCGCGCAACTCTGCCGCATCTCAGCGAGCGCGTGGCACCACTCGCAGCGTGCCTTCTCGCAAACGCCCGAAGAAAAACATACTTGTTGCCTCGATGTGGTGTATCGTGAATCCCCCGCGGCGGATCGTGGTCATTGGCGAGCAGTTCCTTGTTGCGAGTCGTAGAACGCGCTTGTCTAGCACAGTCAACCCGCATAAGAAGGATGGGCAACCTTCCCAAGGGCACCCTTGTATCCTTACCTCCTCGGTCCATCCTTGGCCACTTTCGCTGGCCGCGCCCCGCCCGAAAAGCTCCGAACCAGCCTTCCAAGGCCCTTGCATCCTGATCGCGCACTCTTATGCTACGGGCCGACTGCATCGTAGATCCCCCGCGGCGGATCCTGGCCTTTCGCGAGTAGTCCCTCTGCGAGTCGTGCAGCGCGCTTGCCTAGTACAGTCGGACCGAGGCATGAGATCGAGGTCGGTTCGGGGAGGATGCCCCAAGGTTCCTCGTGTTTGTTGGATGCTCCTGTGCATCCTGAGGGAAGGCTTCCTCGAGTGCTCTTCAGTTTGGGCTGGCGGAGGGTCTCATGTTGGGATTCGATGGGGGTCTGAAGGGGTGGGTGATTAGAGGATGGGGATATCTCTTTGGGCGGCCAGGAGTTGGAATCCGAATTTAGAGAATTTTGATTTCCGATGGCGTATGCGCGATTGTTATTTGGCGCGGTTTTCGAAAACAATACCAGCACTTGTTCGGTGGTGTTTCGTGGCACAATACGTCGCCAATAAGACAGAAGAGCACCCTTCGAGAACATGGGACTCGCACCCTTCAAGAACATGAGACTCTCATGTTCTCGAAAGGTGCTCTTCTGTCCTAGGTCCGACCGCATCGCCACTTTTCGCGTGCCCGCCCGCCCTCCTGCTCGCCCGCCCCCCCGTGACGCCCGCCGCAGGCCGAGCGCCACGCGGCCCTGGATACCTCCGCGGGCGGCGGCACGGCCCAGGAGGCCGCCCCCCCCCCTGCTCCTCCTCCTCCTCCCTCCTCCTCCTCTCCTCCTCCTCCTCCTCCTTCTCCTCCTCCTCCTCCTCCTCCTCCCCTCCTTCTCCTCCTCGTCCTCCCCTTCCTCCTCCTCTTCTCCTCCCTCCTCCTGCCCCTCCCCTCCTCCTCCTCCTCCTCCTCTCTCCTCCTCCTCCTCCTCCTTCTCCGCCTCCTCCTCCTCCTCCTCCTCCTCCTCCTCCTCCCCCTCCCCCTCCTCCTCCTCCTCCTCCTCCTCCTCCTCCTCCTCCGCCTCCTCTCCTCCTGCCCCTCCTCCTCCTCCCTCTCCTCCTCCTCCTCCTCCTCCTCCTCCTCCTCCTCCTCCTCCTCTCCCTCCTCCTCCTCCTCCCTCGGGGCCTCTGCCCTCGCCGTGCCGCCCTTCCGCGCCCACGTCGCCGCGCACACCGCCGCGGCCCCGCGGCGGATGACCCGCCGGCCTCCCCGTGCGGGGCCTCGAAGTTGTGCGCCCGCCGGGGGGTGGGCGCGGCGGGGAGCGCCGCGGGCCGGGGCCATCTTCCTCCGCGGCTGGTTACGTTGCATCTTCGGGGGACCTCGCCTGTCCCCAAGATGGGTGTCTGGTCTGGTGCCCGGAGCGGGCTCGATGATGGCTCGGCGCGGCCTTGGCGTGGACTGAGCGTATAGAGTCGACACGGATCCGACACGGACGGGTCCGACGAGTCCGACATTGATTCGACACGGGTTCGACGCGGATGCGGCCGCGACGGGCAACATGAGTACCTTCTGGATGCCCACGAAGCGTCCTTGCAGGTATTTTCGGCCTGCCCAGGGAAGCGTGCTTATCTATCTTCGGGTTGCCCAGCCTTCGGATCGGCCGTATTTTTTGGTGGATATCCCAGTCCAAGATTGTATCGGCAAACCACCCCGAACGATGCGAAGAGGTAGGTCTCGCGGACACGGCGACGGCAAGGAAGGGCGGACGTCGACCTCACTCGAGCTCGAAAGCGCGGCGGAACCTCCCGCCCTGCCTGCGAGATCGCCCAACGTATGGCGGATCCGATGTCTGGTCAAACCGGATGACAAGGATGGGCAACCTTCCCAAGGGCACCCTTGAATCCTTGCCTCCTCGGTCCGTCCTTGGCCGCTCTCGCTGGCCGCGCCCCGTTCGCAAGGTGTCGCCGTGGCCTTCCCAAGGGCCTTGCATCCCTATCGTGTGTCCTGGTGATACGGGTTGACTGTCAGGGCTGCCCCTGGATGCAGCGCAAGGCAGCGCTGGCCGCGTCTGCCAGGCTGCTCCGCGCCGGCCCCGGGCGTCGGCCAGGGATGTCAGGAGGGGTAAAAAGGCACCTAGACACAAGCAATCGTCGTTTCCCAGGACAAAAACACGGGGAACTATGGGAAGGGGGGTGCAGACGGAAACCCAGAATAATATAGGAGAATACAAGGGTTCCCTGGATTTGAGTGTATGCACAGTCGAGGCTGATTAGCAGGTCGACCCTCTGCCGAGTCAAGAGCACCTCCGCGTCATGGGTGTCCGGGGCCCATGTCTTCCACAAGCCTGTGGCCATGTGGCCCTCGGAAGGGTCCTGAGCCCTCTCTCGCGTGTCCTCTCCACTCACCTGGCATCGCTCGGACGTGTGCATTTTTTCTCGGCGAGGGCCATCGAGGAGCATCCTTGATCATGTGGCGAAAAAGCCACGCACGAAACCAACAAAAAACACAGTGAATGGACGTCCGAGCGATGGCCAGCTCAGCCCCGACTGCATTTCTTTGTGTGTGTGTGTTTGTGTGTTTGTGTGTGTGTGTGTGTCCCTGGGCGCCTTTAGGATGGGCGGCACGGGGGCGCCGGCGCCCTTCGCCCGAGACGGCGCCGGCCCACATGGCTGTCTGTTTTTTCCGGCGGGCGGCGCCCCGGGCGTGGGGCGCTCGCGGCCCCCAGGGGCCTTTTCTTCCTTCGCCACGTGCGCAGTGCAAGAGGAGCCGTCCTCCCTGCTCCCCTCCTGCCCCCTGCCTCCTGCTCCTCCTCCGGCCTTCCTCCTCCCCCTCCTCCTCCGCCCTCTGCCTCGCCTCCTCCTACTCCCTCCCTCCTCCTCCTCCTCCTCCTCCTCCTCCTCCTCCTCCTCCCCTCCTCCTCCTCCTCCTCCTCCTCCTCCTCCTCCTCCTCCTCCTCCTCCCTCCCTCCCTCCCTCCCTCCCTCCCTCCCTCCCTCCTCCTCCTCCTCCTCCTCCTCCCTGCGGGATGACGAGTCACGCTGCCCCTGGCTCACGGCACGAGGACCGCCTCCATGCCCGGTCCGGCCGACCTCCCTTCCTCTCCCTGCCTCCTCCTCCGTCCTTCCTCCTCCCTTCTGCCTCCCTTCCTCCGTCCTCCTTCCTCCTCCGTCCTCCTCCCTTCTGCCTCCCTCCCCGGTCCTCCTCCCTCCTCACTCCTGCCTCTTCCTCCTCCTGCCTCCTGCTCCTCCTCCGTCCTTCCTCCTTCCTCCTCAGCTCGGCGGCCAGGCCCGCCCTAGGACCCGCCTCCGCCCCCCGCCGCGACCCGCCCCCCCCGCGCCCCCTCCCTCCCGACTACCCTGCCGCGGGCTCCTCGGGCTGGCCGTGCTGGCCTTCCCCCCCTTCCTTTCCTTTCCTGGGACGGCCCTGCCTTCTCGCATGTGCCCCGCTCTCCCCTGGATGACACCCAGGGCCGAAGCCAGGCCCATCCGGCATCATCCTGGCCAATGCCACCTCAACCCGTGCACTTTGGCTCAGTCTGGTTTTACCCCGGGTCTTCTGTGCTCATCTGGCAATTGGCCCCTTGCTCTGACCTTGCCGAGATCTCCTGGTAGCTGCCTCCGACCGCAGACCCCCTCGCGTCGTGAAACACAGCTCGTGGCGGGCGGCGTTCGCCAGTCTCTTCGGCCTCTGGGGGCCGTGTTGTTGGGGCCCGAGCCCCGAGGATGCGCGGCGTGCAGTTGTGGTCTTGGGCGTCTGGCAGGGCTCGGGCCAGATGGTGTCCTGGCGACTTCGTGGGCCGTTTTCGCTCGGACTTTTCGTGGTTCGCAGCACGGGCAGAGCGAAGGCGGAAAGAAGGATGACGAAAGCAACGTTTTGTGTCGCGTCGCAGCAAGGGCACAACGAAGACAGGACGGAGGAGAACCAACGTAAGACGAACACGAAACGCATTGCTCTTAGCTCGAGCCCTGGGTTCCAGCCGTCTGGGCGCCGAGGATGCGAACACAGCCACGACGTCGGCGGTCTGGGCCCACAGAACTCCAAGCAGCGCACACCACAGGAAGCGGTGCACAGGCCTCTCGCCGTTCGGTGGGATCCGGCCCTTGCCTCTGTTGCTCGCGGGCGCGGGCTGCGAGGCACAGATCGGTCTGGCTTGGGAGATGCTGCAGGAAGATTCGATATGTTGCTGCCCTGGGGCTGACCTTTCGCGATGCCTCAACTTTCCTGCGTCGTCGGATATCAGGTTTTTCCGCCTCCTGGCCAACCCGAGATTCGGCTCAAATTCGGATCTTCGCGTTGGGGTTGGGGTTGTCTGGCAGGTAGTCAATGGAACAGGTCGGCCTCGGGCGAGGAGCTAAGAGACCTTCCGGGGGGGCTCACGCCGCGGTCGGCTTTACACGTAAGAGTGGTTCTTCGCCGGAGTGGCTCTCTGTGGGGGTCCACCGAGGCCCCCCAAAACACTGGCCTGCGCGCCTCAAGTTTGGCCTTTTGGCCTTCCTGCGGCCCCGTGAAGCCGCGCACCAAAGGTCGCTCTTCGTTCTCGCCTAGGGCCACGATTGCCTGTACGGTGAGGCTGCACATAACTTTATCCGTCGGCGGCGAGGCAGAGACAGTCCGCTCCAGCGTGTGGCTATTCGGTGCAACCGAAGGGCGAATTGTGTGGCGTGCAAGAGGGAGGAAGAAGACGAGGGCGGCCGCGCGGGGGGAGGGCGAGGCTTGACACACACGGACACGCACACACACACGCACACACACACACGCCCACACACGCACACACACATTCACACACACATTCACACACATTTCTGCACATTTTTCACACACATTCACACATGCACACAGGCACGGACACACATGACACACACACACACACACACGCACACACAATAACACCCACACAAACCCACCCACACACCCACACGCACGCGCAGACGCACACCCACACACACACACCCACACACCCAGACACCCACACACCTACACCCACACCAACACACCCACACACACCCACACAACCACACACCCACACACCCACACACCCACACACCCACACCCACACACACACACCCTCACCCACACCCACACCCGCACCCGCACACGCACCCACACACGCATACTCGCACGCACACGCACACGCACACGGCCACGCACACGCACACGCACACGCACACGCACGCACACGCACACGCACACGCACACTCACACGCACACGCACACACACACACCCGCATACACATATACATATACATATATATACACGTATATATATATATATATATATATATATGCACGCACGCACGCAAGCACGCTCGCACGCACGCGCGCACGCAAGCACGTTCGCACGCACGCACGCGCGCGCGCGCGCACGCACGCGCAGCGCACGCGCGTGCGCACGCGAACGCACACGCGCACGCGCGCGCGCACGCGCACGCGCACGAAAACGCACACGCACACGCACACGTACACGCGCACGCCGCACGCCGCTCGCCGCACGCCGCACGCCGCACGCCGCACGCCGCACGCGCCGTGCGCGCACGCGTTCGCGCGCTCGCGCGCACGCGCACACGCGCACACGCGCGCGCGCGCTCACACGCGCACGCGCTCACACGCGCGCGCGCACACACGCGCGCACGCGCGCGCGCGCACGCGCGCACGCGCGCGCGCTCACACGCGCGCGCGCACACGCTCGCACGCGCACACACGCACACGGACACACGCGCACACGCACGCGCGCACGCGCGCACACGCGCACACGGACACACGCACACGCGCACACGCGCACACGCCGCGCACGCCGCGCACTACGCACGCCACGCACGCCACGCACGCGCGCACACGCGCACACACGCACACACGCACACACGCACACACGCACACAAACACACAAGCACACAAGCGCACACAAGCGCACACACGCACACACGCGCACACACTACCACCAACGCAAACACCCACACACACACGCCCACCCACCCGCCCACCCACCTACCCGCACGCCCACACACCCACGCACCCTCACACCCACGCGCAACTACGCCCACACCCACCCTCACACGCACACCCACACGCACACGCACACGCACACGCTCACGCGCATGCGCGCGCACACGCGCAAGCACGCGCAAGCGCGTGCGCACGCGCGCGCGCATGCGCACGCGAACGCGCACGCGCGCGCACACGCACACCCGCACGCGCACGCGCGCACGCGCACACGCGCACGCACACGCACACGCACACGTACACGCACCCGCACCCGCACTCGCACCCGCGCCCGCACCCGCACGCGCACGCGCGCGCGCACGACCACGCGCGCGCGCACGCGCGCACGCACACGCACACGCACACGCACACGCAACCACACGCAGGCACACGCACCCACGCGCGCACGCGCACACGCACACGCGCACACGCACGCGCACACGCATGTGCACACGCACGCACGCACGCGCACGCTCACACGCGCACGCGCGCGCGCACGCGCACGCGCACACGCAAGCGGCACGCGCACGCGCACGCGCGCGCATGCGCAAGCGGCACGCGGCACGCGCACGCGCACGCGCACGCGCGCGCACGCGCACTTGCACACGTGCGCGCACGCGCGCGCACGCACGCGCGCGCGCATTCGCACGCGCACGCGCGCACGCACGCGCGAGCGCACGCGCCCGCGCGCACGCGCACGCGCACGCGCGCCCGCACGCGCACGTGCACGCGCACGAGCGCGCGCACGCACGCACGCGCACGCGCGCACGCAAACGCGCGCGCGCACGCACGCGCACACGTGCACTCGCGCGCCGCACGCCGCACGCCCACGCGCACACGCGCGCGCGCGCACGCGCGCGCACGCGCGCGCGCAAGCCCGAGCGCGCGCGCACGCGCGCCCGAGCGCGCACGCGCGCACGCGCGCACGAGCCCAAGCGCCCACGCGCACGCGCACGCGCGCGCACACGCACGCGCAAACGCGCACGCACACGCGCACGGACACACGCGCGCACACACCCGCACGCACGCGCACACGCACACGCACACGCACACGCGCACACGCATGCGCACACGCGCGCGCACACACGCACGCACGCACACACACGCACACACGCACACGCGCATACACGCACACGCGCACGCGCGCACGCACGCACGCGCGCACATGCGCACATGCGCACTCGCGCACACGCGCACACGCGCACGCGCGCACACGCGCACGCGCGCACGCGCGCACGCGCGCACACGCACACGCGCACGCGCGCACGCGCGCACACGCGCACACGCGCACGCGCGCATGCGCGCTCACGCGCGCACGCGCACACGCGCACGCGCGCACACGCGCGCACGCGCACGCGCGCACACGTGCACGCGCGCACACGCGCCTTCGCGCGCACGCGCACGAGCGCACGCGCGCACGCGCGCACTCGCGCGCGCGCGCACTCGCGCACTCGCGCGCGCGCGGCCACGCGCACACGCGCACGCGCGCGCACGCGCACACGCGCTCACGCGCACACGCGCGCACGCCCGCACGCGCACACTCGCGCGCGCGCACGCGCGCGCACGCGCACACATGCACGCGCGCACGCGCGCACGCGCGCACGCGCGCACACGCGCACGCGCGCACACGCGCACACGCGCACGCGCGCACGCGCGCGCGCACACGCACACGCGCACGCGCGCACGCGCGCACGCGCGCACGCGCGCACGCGCGTACACGCGCGCGCGCGCGCACACGCACGCACGCTCACGCACACGCACGCCCGCACACGCGCACGCGCGCGCACGCGCGCACACGCGCACGCGCGCGCACGCGCACACGCGCACACGCGTACACACGCGCACGTGCACGCGCGCACACGCCCGCACGCGCACGCGCGCACGCGCGCACGCGCACGCGCGCACACGCGCACACGCGCACGCGCGCACACGCGCACACGCGCACGCGCCCGCGCACACGCGCACGCGCACGCACACGCACGCGCGCACGCACATGCGCACACGCACACACATGCACACACCCGCACACGCACACGCACACGCACACAAGTACACGCACGCACGCACGCACGCACGCACGCACACACGCACACACGCACACACGCACAAACGCACACACGCGCACACGCGCACACGCGCACACGCACACACGCACACACGCACACACGCAGACACGCACACACGCACATTTGCACACGCAGAGTGCACACGCGCAGACGCGCACACTTGCGCACGCGCGCACGCACACGCACAGGCACACGCACACGCACCTGCACACGCACACACACACACACCCACACCCACCCACACCCACACCCACATACCCACACACCCACAGACCCACACCCACACACCCACACACCCACACTCCCACACACCCACACACCCACACACCCACACACCCACACACCCACACACCAACATCCCCCCCCCCACCCCCACAACACCCCCCTCCCCCAAACGCCTCCCCCCCCCACACACACACACCAACAGGCACACACAGACACAAACACACACAGAGACACACAGAGACACACGTAGACACACACTCACACATACATGCGGGCGGGGCACGACTGCGTTGCACATTCTGGGTTTCTGGCAATATTTCTTTCGTCGGGCTGCGCCGAACTCGAAAAATGAGACAGTGGATACCCATGCCAAAAAACACCCTGCTTGCCTCCAGGGTGCCTTGTGTTTCCTGGGTTTCGATGGTTTTGCTTTCCACACACCAAAATCGATGGACGTCCGGGTGTCTCAGGGTTGGGTTTCTTGTGGAAGGTTTCTTGTGGGCTGGCCTCCGCTGCAGCGCGAACTCTCTGAGAACACATCCGCTTGTTGTTCATTCCCAGGGCCCCGCGCTTTGCGGTTGTCGTTGCGGTTTGCTTCGTTCGTGGCAGGCGTCGCCAGACCGACTGGGGGCTCCCTGGGGCTACCATGAGGTCTTTGCTTGTGTGGTCGGGCCATGGGCTCTCTGTGCGCTTCTGTTGGAGGCCCGCGCGGGTGCGATTTTTCCCCTGCTCCTAGCCGCTCTGTCAGCAGTGCCTTCCAGCCCTGGCCTCCCCGTCATCGATGCCGGCACAGCACAGCGTCGGAGGCCTGGGTTCGGGGGGGTCGTGGACCGACCGCCTCGCCGATCCTGGCCGGGCCCACCCTGGTTTGGCCAGCGAGGCGTCCACGCCGATGCTTCGCCAGGATCGGCCCAGCAGGATCGGCAAGGTGGTCGGCTGGCGTCCCCCTGACGGGTCCCCCTCCGGCGCCGCGCAGCAGGTCCACGCGCTCTGCGCCGCGCTCGGAGGCTGCGGGGCGCTGCGGGGCCAGCTGGAGGCCCTCGACGACGCGGAGGAGGCCCTGCGGTGGCCCGTCGGCGGCTCTTCGGTGGCCCTTTCGCAGCCCATCGGGCAGCCCCTCGGTTGCCCCTCGGCGGCCCCTCGACGGCCCCTCGGCTGCCCTCGGCGGCCCTCGGCGGCCATCGGAAGCCTGGGCTGCGACGGTCGGCGGCGGCGTCGTCGGCGGTTTCGACGTCGTCGTCGTCGTGGAGGAGGAGGAGCAGGAGGAGGAGCAGGAGGAGGAGCAGGAGGAGGAGGAGGAGGAGGAGGAGGAGGAGGAGGAGGAGGAGAGTTGTGGTGGGTGCCGTCGTTCAGCGGTCTGCGGTCCTCGTCGTCCAATTGGTCGTCGTCGCCGTCGGGGGGAAGGGAGGACAGGATGAGCATGAGGAGGAGGAGGAGGATGATGATGATGATGAGGAGGAGGAGGAGGATGAGGATAATTAGGTTAGGTTAGTTTAGGTTCGATTGGGTATCCAGTGGACGCCAGGTCAAGCACTGGCACGCTTCACATTCGAACGTCAGGAAGGCGACCACCGCTTTTTTTTGGGGGAGGCCCCTGGGCATGCGGGACTGCACGTCCTTTCCAGCTCTGGTGGGAGGACGGTCCAGGGCTTCGCACGGCTGGCCTCTAGGCTCTGGGTTGCAATACAGCCGGGGCCCTGGAGAAGGAACCCTTTTCGTTGGGGAGGGGCTCGGTGGTCCTTGATTGCTTCACAGTTTGCCTTGGGTTTTCCTTTGGTTTTCGATGGGGAATCGGAGTTTAACTTGTGGGAAAAAGGAGCTCCGTTCCTTATTCAGGGTTCCTTAGGTCAACGCCCCGACTGCAGTGGCGTGTGAGCCACATCTCTCACAATAGATGACGCCGCGCCGCACCCTCAAGAGATGACAACCTGCACCATGCGGATACTTGCAGCGGGGGATGCGTAGGATCCTCCGCTGACGGGGCTCGTGGGCCTGCAGAGGGCCCTGGCCAGAAGTTCAGCAGAGGTCCTCAGAGGGAATTTGCGCTGACAGACGTGGCATCTGAGGGAGATCCCGCGCTTCCTGGTCTCCTGACCTCGCGCCCTCGGACGTTGCTGTTGGGTGGCGAACGGCGAGAGAGCACGCGGGCGCGGGGCGGGCCTCCCGACTCGAGTGGCCGCAGTCTTGGGGCAGGACTTGGCGACCTCCATGGCCACCGCTCGCTGGCGACAACAAACCGTGAGTCTTGGAACCTACCTGCTGGATGGCCTGAACAGCGGCCTCTGGGACTGCAGCGTTGTTGGCAGCCCAGCCCGCACAGAACTCAGCACGCAGGTTCAGGAAGCACTCACCCCTAGAAACACCAAAACGGTCCTGAGCTTCAGGGATGCGTGAGAGTTGGTCCACAAAAAAACGGTGACCCGACCAGGACCCCGACCATCGATCGCACCCCAGATCACGATTCAAAGATCGGCCATCGAGGTCGAGTTGCCAATCTGAGCTCGCGGCTGATGCATAGCACGGACGATGGGCAGGACATCAATATAGTCAACAGCATCGCCAGTGGTATGCCGACGGACCATGAAAAATGAATATGGCTCAGCACGGGGGCGATGCTGGGCAATTGTCGGGAGGGAAACAAACATAACCGCGCCCAAACGACCTGCATCACCATCATCATCATCATCATCATCATCATCACCACCACCATCATCATCATCATCAGCATCAGCATCATCATCATCATCATCATCATCATCGTCATCGTCATCGTCATTGTCATCGTCATCGTCATCATCATCATCATCGCCATCGGCATCAACATCATCTTCACCACCACCATCATCACCATCATTATCATCACCATCATCATCGTCATTATCATCCTCATCCTCATCCTCATCTTCATCATTATCACCATCACCATGACCATCACCATCACCAGCACCATCCTCATTGTCCTCAGTATCACCATCATGATCGTTATCAGCATCAGGGCCACACCATCATCAGTAGCACCATCATTCATCATCACCAGCATCATCATCATCATCATCAGCAGGATAAGTCAGAGTGAGGGGTCGAACGGTCATTCATTGTCCCTGCGCGCGTGGCTGAATGAGAAATTCGTGGTGAGAATCATGTGTATCCAATATGCAGGTTCCAATAGGAATCCAATTAGAATTTGCCTCGGATGCACGAAGTAATTGAGTGCGATTATTCCGTGTATCCAATACGCAGGTTCCAATAGGAATCCAGGGAATCCAATTAGAATTTGCCTCGGATACACGGAGCAATCCAGTGCGATTACTCCATGTATCCAATTTGCAGGTTCCAATAGGAATCCAATTAGAATTTGCCTCGGATACACGGAGTAATCGAGTGCGATTATTCCGTGTATCCAATATGCAGTTTCCAATAGGAATCCAATTATAATCTGCCTCGGATGCACGGAGTAATCGAGGTCGATTATTCCGTGTATGCCGGCGCCAGCAGGCGTCGCAGGTTTGTTGAATTCTCATTTCTGAAGAATAATTATTGTTGATTCCCCCCACCGGTGCATACTTGTTTTTCTCAATGAAAGTGTGCCCCTCGACGCTCGCACCCGTTTTTTTGACAGGGAAAGTCTTCATGCTCAAACTGGGCCCCTGGCCCCCGGGTTACAACAACAACAACGGCTCCCGCCTGAGACTTCCTGACAATTTAGCCAGGACCCCCGCTCCCGCCCGAGACTTCCTTGCATTTTATTCAGGAATCGCGCTCTCGCTTGGGACTTCCTTGCAATTTATTGAGGAATCGCTCTCCCGGCGCTCTGGAGTCGCGCTCTGCGACCACCCGCGACCTACCCACAGTGGTTTGATGAGAAAACGGCGCCTGCGGCGGGCTCGTTGTATGAGGCGTGAAACTTCTCCAGAGTCTCGCAAACTGCCGACGTGCCCACCGCCCCCTCACTCTTATCCGCATCTACAGGGTGCTACGATACTCAGGCGAATCTGATAATATCTGGCATATGGGCTTCCAGAAGCATCGAGGCCCCACTGCCCACCATGAACCTGACTCATCCAATCTGGTCCCCTGCCACAGACAGGTGGGGAGGAACACGACCAACAGTATTCGGAGAACTAGGGAGCCCACGATTCCAACACGCAGAATTGGGGTTGGCGGCAAAGACTTCATGTTCCAATTCGTGAGTGGTGAGCACCGCCATATTTTCGAGGTACATCATTACCAGGGCAGGCCCAACACTTGTGCTGGGACGTCTCGGCTTCGTCGGCACAGCGCGGGCACATCCCATTAGTCCGATAGCTGGAGTCCCTGAGGCGTGCCTCTGGCCAACCTGTACGCTGGTCGTCCAACGCTTTCAAGAGAGACTAGTGCAAGCGGCGGAAGATTGTGACGTCAGGAACACCCTGCAATCCTGGAGCACAATCGTGCCCAGCGGCCTTGGGCCGAACCTGGGATGATACAGTGGCGCGTACACGAGTGACAAGAGGAAACCGACAATCGGGGCCAGTCAGCCGTAGTGGAGGGAGATCCAGGAGTTCTCGAAATATCGGCCTGACGGGGCACCAAGTCGAGGGGTCACACAGGTAGCACTGATGGGGGCCTTCTACTTGACGCCATCGTGCAGCATCAGGCAGGGCACCAACAGCCGACGCACGAGGCCGTGCTCGGCGCATCCCAATCTGGGTGCCAGCAGGGAGAGACGCCCACAACGTCCGCGAGGCAAGCTGCTCGGCACGTAGCCAGTAGGCTGGGCCGTCTTTATCGCTGAACGCACTGAGGACCTTAGACGTGCAGGCCCCTGCACTCCAGAAAAGGGACCAACTCGCAGCGCCAGCCCGAAACATGCGGATCGCCCCGGGAGGTATCCCAGAACGTCATGGCCGCACGAGTCCATGGAAAGCACACCCGGCTTGAGAATTGTTTTCGATGTACCACGGAGCGAAGCAAGGTACCACGTGCGACGGCGCTTGCCGATCGTTGTGATTGTACCCAAGTCTTTCGCACATACGTGACAAAGGGAAGATCAACTCCAAGCTTTTAACTTCACGTGATAAGGAGCGCCCCGGATCCTTGCTAGAGGCCACCGCGCCGGACTTAGGAGAAGTTGAGCAAGCGATGGCCTTCGCATCATTACGAAAGCTGTGGACGGCATCTGGGAAGTGTTGCTTCAAAAAGGTCGGAGTAGGTCTGGGTGATGTCGTCATCAAGCGAGCGGATTGGCATTCCTACCTGCAGCCCAGATTTCCCAGGGGCAGCGGGCGGGACCTTAAGTGACCCCTCTCGAGAACGTCACAGAGGTAACACTTGACCCAGGGCATGCTCTGAGCAGAGCCAGCCAAGATAGGCTCCCCATCCTCTAGATTCATAGAGAGAATGCCATGCATCTCTTGGATACGAGGAGCGACGTGACCAGTTCCAAGCAGAGGAGGTCGGCGGGGTAGTCGTCCTTAGTTGCGAAGTGCAGAAGGCGAATCGGCGATACCGAGTAGAAGACGTTGCCACATCCCAATGGCCCGACACCGCCGACATCCCTTAAGAGAGCGCGACCTCGTGGCAGACATCCCGAAACAGTGGCCTTCAAGGCCGAAAACCCTTGACAGCAGCGTCTCAACCTTCCAGATGCGACTTGTTCTAACAATCGATGTCGACACCTCTGGCTCTACATTGAATGCGGTAAACACTTGGACGTATAACGATAACCCGCTCCTCACAGACGGACTTGGACAGCATGGCCAAGAGGCAGAGGTGGCATTGTGGGACGGAAGACAGATGGGTCTCGACAGCGCGCAGCATGCAGAGGATCTGCTCGAGCGCCCCTACGGGCAGCGAGAGCAAGGGGCGTGGCGCCCACCCGCGCGCCCGCGAGAGGTCTCGCAGCTTCAGAGGCTCAAGCGTCAAGGAGCGAGGTCAGCGCTGAGGCTCGTAGCTCATCAGGCCCGCGCCAGCCCCGTCCAGCCGCCGTGCGCAAGCATGCCGAGAAATTCGTACGTCGTGAGTGTTGTTGAAATGCAGAAAGTAGGAGCTTGCTGGTGACCACTCCTTGCAGGGCTC